ATCTCAGCTTTTTGTTACACTGCATTTTCCCATTCATTTATTTTGTTGGAACTCAGATCCTCTGACTTTTCCTCTTGCACCGCTCCCATCAGCCTCGGCTATGCACAGGGCTTCGTTAGCAAATCTTATCGTGGTAAGAGCGTGGTAAAGCTCCACTAATACGGCTGTTATGGCAAAGGCATCTGCTTAGCATCAGTATATTCGCTTTGTTATTGTAGCCATGTCAGCGTGCAGCTCAGAGCGCCACCACTGTGCCTGAGTGCAGTCTACAGAGATGATAGCATGGCTGTAGACTCCTAAAATGGTCATTGTTGGAGCTCAATTCCAACCGCCTAAGGGATACGTCTTGTACATATTCAGCACCGAGCAAGCACTACTCACCGCTGCTGTGTAATTCAAACCATTTCTTAGCTGCTATGTGTATTCATGTTGGCTTATGGGCACATATGGTTTTAGTTCAAACACAACATGAGTAAATATTGAAGTACATATTTAATATATTAAGAGTCTTTATTATGCAGCCAGGAGTAAAAACAATCAATCTTTGCGTCTGTCAGTCCTGCATTTTGGCGGGATGTATCTGACGGAAGCAGCAGGAATTCACAAGCCAAGGGGTGGCTCTGATCCGTGAGGATAGAACGGGCCTCACGTAAAGTTCTGATTTTATACGGGGCTGGTAGTTCTCCACTGTGGAAAACTACGACAAAGAAGACATGGCGCCGCTTAGAAAATAGTTCACATGAAAAAGTGGTGGGATGACACAGTGGCCACATGTCAGCAGGATACAAGCGCTGTAGAGCAGTGAGTTCTGGATTCACTTCCAAGCAGGCTGGACCTTCACTGCGTTTACTTCCTCTGCACGTTTCCCATCTCTGTGTAATGCAATACCTAAATAAAGGCAACATGCCAAAAAAACAAACAAAAGAAAAGCTGTTTTCTAATAAATAAATAATATATTGTCCTCCTCCTCTTCATCTCCCAGGTGGTTTGATAAATCGTTCTCCATTGTCATCTACAAGAATGGGAAGAGCGGACTGAATGCAGAGCACTCCTGGGCCGATGCACCAACAGTGGCTCACCTGTGGGAGGTACGTGTGACTGCTCATTGGCTTGTGATTGTAAACAAACGTTTACAGTCAGGTCCATAATTATTTGACACAATTTTCAGGATTTCGGCTCCGTGCGCCACCACAGTGGATTTGAAGTGAAGCGATCAAGATGTGCTTTTAGTGCAGACTCTCAGCTTTAATTTCAGGGTATTTACATCCAAATCAGGGGAGCGGTGTAGGAATTCCAACACATTTTATACATGCCCTACCAAAAGTAATTGGACAATTGGCTGCTTAGCTGTTCAGTGGCCAAATGTGTGTGTGATTCCCTCATTATTTTATCTACAAGGAGCTGATGAAAGGTCTGGAGTTCAGTTCGAGTGTGGTATTTGCNTTTGGACACTTTGAGTGTCCACAGGCAGTGTTGACCTGCAATAAACCAGAAATGGAACAAAGGGAGGATGCAGTGTTGTAACAGCTCTTAGTGAGAAATGCCAAACAAATGTTAGATAATAATACATGTATCATCTTGATCTTTAAACGTCCTCAGCACTTTCTCTTTGATGAACATTATTTAGTCTTTGTGCCCTTTGTGCTCTGTGTGACAGCTTATCTTTTCGCATGAGCCCTCGCGGTCGATGACACACCGTGAATGTTTATGTTAACCATTAATAATGGACAACAATTAGAGCAATGATGTATCTCTGTGTGTATGTGCGTCCCCCGCATGCAGGATTCCTTGGGCTCAGACGAGGAAGCAGTACTTCAGCTCTGGTGTCAATAAGCGATCGCTGGATGCCATCGAGAGGGCGGCCTTCTTCATAACCTTGGACGACGAGGAGCAAGGCATGAAGGGAGACGACCCGGCAGGAAACTTGGACCGCTATGCCAAGTCTCTGCTCCATGGGAAATGTTACGACAGGTGAGCAGGTCGCAAAACAAGAGCACGTACAAGAGATGCATTGTCTTGTGCTGAATTCTCTGATTTTTAAATCCTTCAATAACCGTATTCATACTTGTGTCAAACTGCCAGCGACCAAAATCTGCAAAATACCCCACAGTGGCACGACATCTTTGCAAATGAGCCATTTTTTTCTCAGAATCTACAGCTCCTCTCTACGATGTAATGCTTTTGAAACAAGTTTATTCAATGAAACTCATATTTAAGTTGGATTAAGGGACTGACATACCTACAAAATGTCTTCCAGACATCCAGGAATGAACAAAACAAATAAGTGGGGTCAAATTTTAGCACCCATTTAACACCGGTTTTGGCAGAATAATCCCAGATGTAAACTATGGCAGGATTCCCCTAAAATGCCACCACCGTTTCTAAAAGCTTTTTGCTTTCGTTTTGTACGAGTCACAACAGCTGTCTGCCTGCTCCTCTGCCTGCTCCACTGTCTCCATCTGAACCATTGCATATCCTTTGATCTGTCTGTCTTCACGTCTGTCTGAATCCCTGAATGTCACGTGTGAGGTGATGTTAGGCGTTTGCAATCACAAAGAACAACACTTTCATGTCTCGTCTATTATATATTCGCTGTAAATAGACAGACTATGTTTGCACAGACTACGTACTGTCTAGCTTTTTTGCTTGCAGTATCACTGTTGATTTTTGTCCTAGTCTCACTCATTTCTTATCCGTCTGTTCTTCCAGCCAACTCGTATCAGTCTGTTGGACTTTTGACAGCCGCAGCCACAATCTGTGTCTCATTATTCAGGACATGGACCGCTTGTCGTGCATTTAACATCAAATAGCGGTTGTTGACAACAGTTGTAGTCAGTTTGCCGTCTTTGTGAGTGCCTAATTATTTTGTTTATGTGATTAAAACGCTCAGTTGCATTGTAAATATGTTTAGGTGATCGAGA